TTATAAAAGAGAGTTAAAATTTATGATAAAACTTAATTTGTGCATAAATGATTAAATGTTTAAATAAAAGAAATTAATTCTGTCTCACAAAATCCTACTAAATTTTTAAAAATTTTAGTGTTTAATTATAAAATGAGATTAAGTGCTTTGCCATGCCTTAGGATTTACCCAGCCTCGGTCACACCAACTCCCTTCAAAAGGGTATTAATATTTATTGGAGGAGGCCAAATTATTTAAATATTGAATTATATTTAATACTAAGTAATTGAATTCAGATTTAAGTTTCAAATATATTTATATTAAAATTCAATCTCAATTCACATAGAAATACTAAATAACACCTACTAGCTACTGTTCACGCTAGAGCGCGATGCCAACAAGTCGTACTCTCTGTGAAACAGGATGAAAAAGCCACCGTGGCGAAGCGAAAGGTGGGTTTTATACTTTATTTTTAATATTTGATAAATTTTATATATTATTTTAAAATTATTACATTATTTAGCATTTTATTTTTTATTATGACTAATATTAAATCTCAAGTCTGATTTTTTACAATTCACGAAAAAAATATATATTGAATCTAAAATAAAAAAATTAGTAACTTTAAAAACTCCATATAACTGAATTTAACTTTTTTTTAAAAAAACCCGGTTTTCGCCGCTCAATTTTGATGTTTTATGTGCCGTAATTAGGCAATGCCTAACTAAGGTAAGCCCTAGGAATGGCAATGTGCTAGCATTTATGAAGTTGTCCATGATTAGTAAATTATTCGTTTTGCTCGAATACAAATAAAGAAATACTCGATTCAAATTTAAAGAATAATTCGAATTATTCAAATAATACAAATATATGACAAATTATTTGAGTAATGGATCTATTCAACAAATTATTCGATAATTGGATTGAAAATTTGAATTATTTCGAATATATTAACATTCTTTTAATAAAATTTAATCATTTGTCATTTAATCTGTCAGATAATGGGATTAAAAAGGTATTATAATATATCAAGTATCAACTGTTTGTGAAAATATTTTATTAAATTGAAACTAATTTTCTTTTAGACAATTTTCACTTTAAATAATATTATATGTAAATAAATTAATAAATATAGAAACTAGTACTTTATAAAGAAGAACCAGTAAAAATACTCTTTGTTTTAGAATCTGGATAATTATTAATTAAATTAATACTCATTTTTCATCAATAATTCGATCGCAAGTTATTTATAATCAGATTATTATAATAATTTTTTCTGTTTAAAAATAAGATGTGCGATTAAAAAATTTAAAAAAATTCTGTCAATATATTTTCATATTAATTATTTGATGATATTTTTTTAAACGAATTATTCGAATTAAATACAAATAGTAAATTTTATTATCTGGAACAATACGAATATTAAATAATTCGATTCATTTGAATGAATCGAATGCGGATTACGCTACTCGATTCATGTTCGTTTTTGATAGACCTAGTAAATAGTATACAAAAACAAAATGAACGAACTTCTGAAATTAAATTGATCGTTACTTAAATTTACGAATCAGATAATAAAGTTTGTATCGTCTTTTCATCTTTGTAGCCTTCTATTGTTTGCCCATTTTTTTTACAATAAGATTATAATATGCACTATTATCAAAACCCTAAATCTCATAAAGTTGGGATTATCTAAAATTTCAGAAATATTGATTTAGTCGTGAAATAATGATATGAGTTGTATGAAGGAAGAAAGCCTCGATAACAAGTATTTTGTTGAAAGACATATAAATTCGTCCAGCTAGAAAATTCGTACAAAAAAGTCAACGGGCCGAGGCGGACGTATAACTGATTGGACAAAAAATTTAAAGGCCGGGAAATTTGTGCAAAATATTTTAACGATTTAAAACCGGCTGGGCGGAGCTTTGCAGATCTCCAATCTACAAAAAAATTGATTTTACAATTTATTTAATAATAATATTTAATTTACTTATTTTAAAAAAAACCTCAAATTTATTTTTTTTTTTAAAAAAAAAAAATGTTCCTTCCTAGTAAAAAAGTTTAAATTTCTTTAACTATATTTTATTTTTATTATTTATTGACTTTCTTTTAAACAATCAGTTGTAATTATAATTCATAAATATTTATCGATTTCTTAAAATATCTACAAATAAAAAGTTAATATTATAAGAAAAAATGTTTAATTGATAAAAATATATTTACATTTGTAAAAAAATTTTTAGTTTTTTGAAAAACCTATCTAAGTTCACCATTTTTAAACCATCCTAGCTTTTCCATTGAGAAAGGGGGGGGGGGGGGTAAATAGTAATTTTTTGAAATTTTTTTTATTCAATAGACTATTTTAGACGTTTACAGCGAGGCCATAGTTACGACAATTATTATTAGTATATAATCTTAATGTACTAATATTTTTTAAATCTACATTGTGAGTTGGCCCCATAAAAAAAATCTTAATATTCAGTTTTTTTTAAAAAACAAAATCTCCCAAACAAAAATAGAAAAAAACAATTTTACAAAACGGTTATAATGGTTGTAGAATAATAAATTTTCAGCCGGAATCATTTAAATAACAAAAATTATAGCGGAAAAAATCGTTAAACGTATACTTTGGGTTATAGTATACAGTGGAATACTTAATAAGTCCAGAAGTTAAAAAAAATGTAAATGTTCTAAAAAACACATAAATGTTTGCGATTTTCAGTTTTGATAATTAGCAAAACTCTTTCACATTCAATTTATAAATATATAGAAGTCAGATCGAATCGTATAATAGAAAATATGAGGAGAGAATATATATTAAATGATTCAACCCTTGTTATTTTTCAATTGGTTAAATATAGTTTAAATTTATTTTAAAAAAATTTGACTCGGACCACTATGATTATTTTAGACCTATGGGTGGTGATTTGTGTGAAATATTTTTTTATATTTTTGCAGTCATAATAATTTGTTAAGACCCATAATATTTGTAACAATATTTATCTTTGTATAAAATAATTAATATTACATTTATTTAATTCCTTTACCTAATAGCCTTTAGTAGAATTTCCATTCTATATTTTAGCAATTATTGGGGTGGTAATTGAGTGAAATTAAAATTAACCCGCCTACCAGCTTAATGTTTAAAGATTCCTATATTGGTTGAATTTGTTATTTATTTATTTTATTGTATTTTTATATCGCCCGATAATTATCTAAAATTTCCCCGCCTATTATTTAAAAAAAAATAACCCGCCCACTCATCTACCCAATGCATAAAATATTTTAGCCCTCTCGTCCAGCCCATTTGAATATCTCTAGTTAGGATTAACGTATCTCGGACAAGCAATCAATACGCCCGCCCCGCCCCCTCTAATTTCATAATGTACTATAAAATCATACTAATTCATGTTTTGTGATTTTTAAAAAAATTATCAGATTAAAAATTAGGATTTTTAAACTCTCTAATATTTAATTATTGAAATTTTAAAAGCTTTATTTATAAATCTAAACTATAAAGTTTGCATTTATTTTTGTTATTAAACACAAGTAAACATTAAAAGAATAAATTTTTCTAAAAACTTTATTGTATGGCACAATTCTCTATAAATAAATTTCCATTTTTATGTAATAAGATCTTAGAAATAAATTGGAATGTACTGATCTGTCTCTATCACCCCAACGTGCCCCCGATTCCTTATGGGCTCCTCGACGAAAGATAAACTAGTAAATAAAAATGTAAAAATCAAATATTTAGTTTCGTTGATTTGATCGAACAATAATTAAATACTTGAGAGTTAAGCTAATGCCTAAACCAAACTTTACCCTAAACCCAAGTGTAAGTTTGAATTTATTTAGCTATCAGAATTTTATTTAAGTCTAGTCAGTTAGAAAAAAAAATAAATTAAGCTTATGCGCAAAAAGCGCCCATAATTATATTAGTCAAACGCAGTTATCTGAGGCTAAGCCCTCAGTCGTTTTTGGACGAGTTCCTAAATTAAATCATGGATAAGGTCACTGCTAGTATAAAAAATTACCTTAAATATATCGAAATGACCAAATTTATAGTTAAGGTTAAGGGTTCATGGCTCATGCGAGAAAAAAAATGATTAAGCATGGTTTTACGGAGCAAGCTTGACCATATAATTGACGAAAATAAAAAAATATTAAATTTATTTATATTAATAACTAAAGACATCTGTTAATGATTGAATTTTAAATTAAATTAAATTAAAATAAAATATTTTTTGTTTTAATTTTTTTTTAATGTTATTGTAATAAAATGAAATCAATATTAATTTGCTTCATACCATAATATAATTATAATTATATTTATATCTATATATAATATAAAATTAATTTTACTTTTTTTATAAAAAATAAAAGAGAAAGAAAATTGGTCAATTAATAGAAATTTTGGATATAAATATAAGTAGCACTTATAATTTGTAAATTGAAATTTATAAAAGTTTATTTTGTAAAAAAAGTTATGATAATAAAATAAAACAATATACATAAAGAGGAAAGACATTTTAAGAGTAATTAAAGTTCCTTTTTTTTACTATGCATGAAGGTGATGGAAAACTAACCACAAATTTAAATTTTAGAAATAAATGCCATTTACATTTACATTTTTATAAAAATTCGATGTGACATGGATAGATGGAAAAAGAAAAGAGGAAATAAAGAGAAGAAAGTTTTAAAAAAAACTTCGAATTATTAGTATCAAATTTTAATTTATCGATTAATAATCGAAATGAATCATTTTTAAAAAAATTAAATAATCAAATTTTTTATTTTTATACTTTTATTTCTAAAAAGTTTGTTTTGATTTTTTAATATTATTTAGAAAGCCAAATTTATTATGAAACCGAATCTAATTATATTATAAATCTTATTTTAAAATCGTATAAATATTTTAAAAATTTTTTGATCTTTTAAGTTTTGTGTAAAATCTTTAGTGTTTTTTTCCTATTAAATAATCGTTACATTTAAATAAAAAAATTCTAATATACCGATCCTTAAAAATAAAGTTACCAGTTTAAAAGTTATAGCTCAAAAATTTTCTTTGAATCCTTTCAGCACGGGTAAGCCTTAATTTACCATAATATATTATATTTTAACCTGCGTATTAACATGGACCAAAAATCTTATTTTTCCTGATTTTCAAATTTCCCGTCCTGAGAATAATAAGCGGGTCATAACTCAACTCATCTAAAATTTCGATCATTTTTTTAAAAAATTTTTATATTAATTTCAGTTAGTTACCAACTTTACAGATTAACAGCAGGGGCATCACTAGACATCTCAATTTGCCGTGGCTTAATGGGTGTTCAGGAAAAATTTTAATATATTTTTTTATTTTTCGCCTCTTCAAATTTTTAACTCTTGAGTGGTTTTGTTAAAAGGCTCGTTTTGAGCCAACTTTTAAAAATGGCTAGCTCAATATTTTAGCCAGAAAAATATTGCCTAAGCCTCGATATTACGATAATATATAACTAGACCTTTGTTCCTTCTATGAACAAAATCTTCAGGCTTGCGTAATGTTTTTTCTGAATGAAATATTGTGTTAGCCGTTTTTAAAAATCGGCTCAAAACGATCCGTTTAACAACACTACTCTTGAGCATAAAGAACTTATGTGTGAAAATGTATTTTATATATAAATATTTTTTTAACAGATTAATATAGGTAAAAATCATACACCTATTATCTGTTAGAAATTTTTCTAGATTTAGTATCTAGATTTAGTATATTTTGCCAGAAAACTTCATTTTTTTATCATAAATTATAAAAACATTATTTTCTAGTATTTTTGTATTTTACAATACAAAATATATTTTTGTGCACATGTTCCTAAATTTTTAACTTAAATAAAGGTTATTGGGAGTTAATAGCTTAACTAGAAGTCAAGTATATAGTCAGGTATATAATAGATAATCTTGGGATAAAACGGCTATTGGGTAAAACGGTTAAAATGTTTTATCTGATAAAAGCTGTATAATTTTGAGATATTCATGTCAATTAACATATAAAAGTAAATTATGATGAGCAAAAAAGGATCATTAATTGTGCCTTATTATGCAATAAAAAATTTAAAATTATCGTGAAGGTAAAAATAAAAGATTAAAATACTCGATATGTCCAAAATGCTTACGTTCCAGATGTGGTAATTTTGATAATTTATTAAATGTTTTATTGTATTGATTAGTTAATTAAATTTTAAAAATAGCCCTTCAGAAAATGATTTAAGATTGGGAGATTCCATAGGAGCAACCATAAACGCTTTTTAATTTTATAAATACCATTTAAATTAAAATCATACTAATTCGTGTTTTATAATTTTCGAAAATTTTCAAAAATAATGGGTAATTATTGAATTTTCCTAAAATTTATTTATTGGGATTTTAAAAGCTTTTGGGAAAAAATAATACATAATTTTTTTATATAATATTTTTTTAAAAGATTTTATGTTATGATGTCCCTCCCCCCTGCTGAATAATTAAATTTAAAGATCATATATATATTTTTTTAGATTTTTAATTATTCGAAAGTAAGGTTTAATCTTTTTCTTTATAAAAAGTTGTGATTTCATGATGAAAAAGATTTGGAATTTTAGGCAAAATTTGATCAAAAATTCTGCTCGAACATTTTCAGAAAAATCTTATTTTTTGATCTACGAGCTTGTGAGACCTATTGCATAACTCAAATATTGAATCTGCGAAAATATAATAAACCTAAATTCTTATTATTTAATATTAGCCCTCATCATCAAATCCCCTCACTTCACTGAGTAGCATCATTTAAACCTAAGTTCAAGTTGTGGGAAGCACATACATTTCAAATAAATGATTAAAGAATAGGGCCCATAATAAATGGTTACTTTCTTTAAAAAAATATAGGTCTAGTATATGACTATAAAAAAAAATTTATAATCGACATTTTTCATTGGAATTCTAAATTCTCGGCGACCTCTAATGCTGAGGGGTCGATTGCTGCTTTTATTACACCATTGGGCACTATAATTATATTGAATTTAATTATACTAAAAAAAATTATGGTTCCATACGACTTTTTTTTTATAGATACCAGCAGCCTCAATTTTCCCTGTTCTCTATATAGAACACTCTAATTTTAATTCGACGATAAAATATACAATGCACATTCGACAATTTATTTTTAGAATCCTATAGAGAATTATAAAGGACGATAATATTATTTTTATATATGATTTAGATTATATTATATTATATATAAATGGACATTAATATCAATATTTAAATCAATAAAAACAATTATATATATTTTTATATTTAAATTGAAATTGATGAAATATATACTTTAGTTATATAAACTTAATTTTATTATTTTTTTCTCGAGCATATCAAATTCTGAATTTATATTAATAATATGGTAGAAAAATTTTTTAAAATATGCCGTCGTCAACGGCAATTTTTGCTGCTAGGCCTAAAAAGCAGCAGATTTAGGTTAGCTCACGACATGCAATTTTAAAAACTATTTTTATTGATTTTGTAAATTTTATTTATCTCTAAAATCAGACTGTTCCCCTGAAAGTTTTATTATAGTGGACAAAACTAACTTTACCCACCTAGGTTCACCCATTGGAAGTGAAAGGGCAATATTTTATTTCAGGGTGAATTTCTTGCCAAATTTAATAGAATGAAAAATATTTACATAAGACATTTTATTTGCCTAAAATTTTTTTTACTCATCCCTAAAATTTTACATGCCTTCTGGTCATCGCCAATTTTTATGTCTCCTGAAATATTATTTAGACCTACCTCGAGTTTGATATAAAAAATATTCACGAATCTATTTTAAATATCAAAAACTAATCACTCTCTTAGATGCAAACTGTTCTTACAACAAAACTTGGTACTATAGATCTCTATTCCTACATAGTGGCTCAATAAAATTTGGAGACTTAAATACTATCAATCCACATCATATCACAGCTTTAGACCTCAATAACAAAAACGCCTCAATCAGTTTATATCCAAATTATACAAAGCAAAAGAGACTGGAATTTACGATTGATACAGCATTGTGTCAAATAATTACACATGAAAGCTGTTCGATGGAAATCTCCATCGCTCTTTCTTCACCTAAACCAAATCCCGTGTATACAGAATGGCAACTATGCGGCTCTTTTCCCAGACCAAATAATTCCAGCTTCGGCCATAATCTAAGTCACGAAAAGTTAAAAACAATACCTAGTTATAATTTAGGCTTGTTACTAACATAAAACTTATAATAGCTATCAGTCTTCTTAGGCTGTGTAATCATAACACCAACATCATGTGTTCTTTGTAACACACTGTCGTTTTCCAAAAGGCAGATTACCTAGGCACTAGCATCAATTCGATTATCAATAGAACCATGAGATCCACAAATATTTTTTCCATGCTGGAACCCTCTGGCAACAACCCTGACAATCAAGCGACCCGATGGGATGACCCTAGTCCCCTGGAACCAAGTTATACCCCTCGATTGGGATTATACTTGTGTAGATCGTTTTGCCCGATATTTTTCTGTCAACTCTATCATGAGAGCAGAGAACACAAAGGCCAATAAATAAAGCCACTTAATAGTCTATTTTTAGTTTCAGTAGTTTTAGAAACCCGTGGATCATTTTGACCCTAAACCCTAAAATTATACCAAACTTGTACAAATTACATTTAATCATAGGTAACCCAAAAGGGCGTTTCTATTTGCGACTAAGAATATCGATCGAAATTTACCGATACAAGTGTATATCTATATATAAATCATTAAGACACACCGGCTTACCCTAAATATTTATTTTTTAAATAGTTTTCTTTTTAAATATTGTTTTTTAGATAAATATTTTATAGATATGGTATGTATATTTTTAATACTTATAATAAAGATTTTAAACAGATTTTTTAAATTTGAATATCAAAATTAAAATAAGAATTGTATTTATATATATCTGCTATATAACTTATTTTGTATTTACAGACTTTGGTGTGAAAATATATTTTTATACTGTAATTTTTTTTTATTTCTGTTCATCTTTTAGAAAATTTGCCTGGTTTGATACAATTTGACAAAAGCCAGTTTTTAATATAAAAATCATCTTAAGTATTATTTTTTTTTGATTTTAGCAAAATATATTTATCCCAATTATTTAAAATTTTCTACACATTTTGCTTAAAATTAAAATCTTTTTATAAAATAAAAGTTATTGGAAACTCTTAAAAATTAACTAGAAGTCATGCAATATTAATATAATAATTGTTCCTTCCATAAAGCAATCGAGAGCTTTGGGTTCATTTTTTACAAGCCTTTGGACAGTTTATAGAAAATTTTGGGTTTGCATTTTTTAGATATTTATAGTAATTATTTTAAAAGATTATAACTTATACTTATTTTTTTTAAAATTATTGTTTATAATGAATGACATATTTTATTCATTTTTGGGAGAGATAGGGGGGAATAAATTTAGTGGGTAATTTTTATAGGCTGAAAATGATATGTGAAACTTTCCTTTTTTAAAGATATATAATTTTATACAATTACTTAAAGAGTTTATATGCCCAAAGTGTGATGTAAAAGCACATGATAAATAAAGATTTAGAAAAATTATAATAAATAAAATATGATATTAGTAAAACTCGTAAATTTTTTTTAAAACAAAATGATACCTAATTTGAAGAAGCTAACTGAATTATTTATCTGAGGATTATTTTCACGATTGCAAAGTAAAAATTGGCCAATTTCGCTCAATCTACAGGCGCATGCTGAGTAAAATAGGCATTGAATGGTGTCTCCTGGTTCATATTTTTGATACTTATTTCTATAGGTCAAAAAGCTTTTGAACTGGAACACCCTATTTTCTTGTGTTTTAAGTGTTTGGTGGCAGGTATTGTTATTTTTATTTCTCGTTTTTTCTCCTTTTTTCCCCTCTTACTTTTTAGGTTGTTTAGTCGAAGCTTTAGCCAGCTAAGCAGCCGGCTGTTTTGTAAGTCAAACCTAGGATGCAGCATGAGGTGTCAGTTGTTTTTTTTTGCTTTCTTTAAAGTTTTAGTTATATTTTCAAAATTT